TGTGTTTGTGGACATTGGATTTTCTCTTGGAATTGGACCTACAAGTATGTATCAAACATGTATATTCAATATTAGTATTGTTTTCTGACATGTAAATTCCTTTTAATGCATTCATATTGGCTACGTACCTTCACTCATACTGATGTCAGATTCCTCTGTGTTTGTGGACATTGGATTTTCTCTTGGAATTGGACCTACAAGTATGTATCAAACATGTATATTCAATATTAGTATTGTTTTCTGACATGTAAATTCCTTTTAATGCATTCATATTGGCTACGTACCTTCACTCATACTGATGTCAGATTCCTCTGTGTTTGTGGACATTGGATTTTCTCTTGGAATTGGACCTACAAGTATGTATCAAACATGTATATTCAATATTAGTATTGTTTTCTGACATGTAAATTCCTTTTAATGCATTCATATTGGCTACGTACCTTCACTCATACTGATGTCAGATTCCTCTGTGTTTGTGGACATTGGATTTTCTCTTGGAATTGGACCTACAAGTATGTATCAAACATGTATATTCAATATTAGTATTGTTTTCTGACATGTAAATTCCTTTTAATGCATTCATATTGGCTACGTACCTTCACTCATACTGATGTCAGATTCCTCTGTGTTTGTGGACATTGGATTTTCTCTTGGAATTGGACCTACAAGTATGTATCAAACATGTATATTCAATATTAGTATTGTTTTCTGACATGTAAATTCCTTTTAATGCATTCATATTGGCTACGTACCTTCACTCATACTGATGTCAGATTCCTCTGTGTTTGTGGACATTGGATTTTCTCTTGGAATTGGACCTACAAGTATGTATCATATATTCAATATTATAATGTATTGTTTTCTGACATATACAGTAAATTCCTTTTAATGCCAGTCCTCTCTGTGTTTGTACAGATTAGACTTTCTCCTACTGGGTCTACAAGTATAGACCCAGTTGGCACCATAATAACTATAATCAAATTTAGTGTACCTTCACTCATACTAATTCCAGACTCCTCTTTGTTTGTATATGTCAAATTGAAACAGGGTGCTGCTGGACATGCTATATGAATTGAAATAATGTCATATACTGTACATATACTGTAGGGTATGGATATTAAACTGTATTATACCTTTTTTTGGTCTTGGGATAAACTGCATTCCAGTTGGTGTTTCACAATCTACAAGTTTTCAGAAATAGAGTTACTACTGATACTTGTCTCTTTGGCTATATATTATTGGTACTACATATTTGCATGTCACCTACTTGGCGTATTGTCAAAAAGTCTTCGCTTGACACTTGGCAGTTTGGAAAATAGTGCTGGTATTGCCATCTCATGTAGCCTATTTTTTAAATTGCTGCGGAAGCAGGAGTCATGGAAATGTTTTGCACATAGTCTGCAATTGTTGTATAAGTAATTCACATCTTTGCTCAGTAAGTCTTCTCTTTGACAATTGATCACCCATTGTTTTGATCTAAAATAGTTATGTATGTTACACAATATTGACTGTGATATTTTGAAAATATTGCATATACTGATTACTGAATATTTCAATTATAAAGGAATATAAGTATTTAAAAATAGTTGTTCAACTATTGAAAAGCCAGATATATGAAAAGTATATTATTTTATAAACGACTGGTCGCGTCAGCAACTTACAAAAAAATGAAACGTTTCCTAAAATCTGCTTGAAAAGAAAAAAAAAAACATATAAAAACTGCTATTGTTTTTTCCTTCTTTTTGACGCTTTTCATGTACTCATAGTTAGTTTGACAAGTGCGCTAAATTTTGAGTATTTCGTCACGTCGCGTACTGTACCTTTCTTGATCTTTGGGGAAACGAAAAAACGCTATCGACGGATCGGCGATTTTATTGTTAAAACAATCAGCTGCAGCACACCAAGTTGTTCCACGCTTAAATAATTGATTTTTCTTCTCGTTTTTGTCCATTGTTTATTTTTATTTTGTTCTCAAAACAATTTAAAGCTACAAAATTTAAATGCCACAAAGCCCCATTTGTAAACAATTATTTAAATCTCGCGCTATTTGGCGGCAATGTATGTGTGCTTCCGGTCTTGTACTTATATGGACATATGAGTCACAGAATAAAGAAATGTAAAAAGATATGTAGTATTTGTGTATGAGTGCGGCATATATTTATAAGTAATCACCACATTTACTTTACGATTCAGTTTATTCAGTTGCAGCGAATTAAAAAACACTTATTTTTACCAAAGTCTAACTGTTGATACAGTTACATGACAGTGATGTTAGATTATTAACTCAGTAAAGCGAAGAAATGTGAGAATGAAACTTGGTTCGCATCCAGGTGCACAGAAAGCATCAAAGCAAGGTATATATTTCTTCATGTATTGTCTATTTTACATGTAAAAGTAATGTCGAAAATGTACTAGAGAATCTGCAGACTTTTTTTTTGCTTGTTGGACTGGGATTTGGCCCTCTCCTACTCAGATCCAGCCTATTGTCTGCTGTATCTCATGCTATTTCTTTATTGTAATTTCTGGAAACATACTGAGTATTAAATAAACACCTGATAGAATCAGCAAATGGTCATGTTCATGATTTAAGTGGTAGGATATCAATTGTTAAGGCTTATCAAATAATTAATAGTGAGCTTTATGCAAGTTTAACTTAAAATATATTCACCTTTTCAATAATTAAGTCCATGAATACTATCTTGGTCTGGGAGCCTTGCTTTCATTAGCCAAATTAAGGGGCCGATTACATGGAGAACTTTCAACCCCGGGGTTGAACTCAGCCCTGTTAACCGGGTTGAAATTTTTTGCGTTTACATGGACAATTTCAACCCCGAGGTTGAAATGCTATACTATACGTTCTCGGCATCGATTCCCGGAAGTAAAAAAGCCTTTATTTTCATTAAGCCTTCAACCCCGGGGTTGAACTCAGCCCTGGGTTGAAAATTTTGTCATGTAATCGCGCGTATGATTTTGATAGAGTTTTGTATTACAGACAGGGCTGAAATTTCAACCCGGTAAACAGGGCTGGCTGAGTTCAACCCCGGGGTTGAAAATGCTCCATGTAATCGGCCCCTAAAGATGTAATGCAATTGACAATTTATGAGAGCTAGGCTTGCAGGCCAAATGATGTAATTAAGTAGAGTCTTTTGCAAAATATTTGGAAGAGTTACATGACTTCTACTACTGTTGTAAAACTGGTCCCTGGATTTCATTTTTTCACTTAAAATTTGCAACCCCTTTTACTGGAGTCTGAAAGTGCCTGTTTAAGTATTTTATATATTACTCTGCTAAAATGCCATGGTTTTACTTGTCAGTGAAGAGCACTGCCTGTTAATGGCAAACCTATCTGCTAATGTCTCCAGTTAACTGACATAATTTGAGCCATAATTTGCCGCCTTCAGTGGCAGAAATTCACTTTTTCCGGTGGGGGCAAAGCCTCCAAAATTTCCGACAAAACTTTCAAATTTCCAACAAACCTCCCTATTTGCGCTCGAAAAGTCTGTTTTTTCCCCTCTTTTAGGTCAAAATTTCTGAAAATTTGTCATTTTCCATGAGGAGGGGGGGGGGGGGGCGTCGCCCCCTGCCCCACCAAGATTTCTGCCACTGGCTTTCTTTATTATTTTATCTTGTCTTACACCAGAGAATTCAACTCCAGGTTGTATAAAACTACATTTTGGGTATCTTCTATCATAAAATTATAAATCTAATGATTATTTTCTAGTGTAATATATTGTTAAAGTTAACCTAGGTCATATTAATGAGCAAACCTGAAAATTTCTCTCACGATTTTTTAGTCTCACAAATTTTCAGTCAATCTCACGACATTTTAGACGGCAACTCACTATTTCTGCTACTCAAGGGTTGGCAGGTCTGAAATCGATATATAATCATTGTACTTATAAGAGCTGTAATTTGCAGTTGCAAAATTATTCTCCCATTGCTTAGATTTTCACGTCGTTTATAAAATAGCCTCATTTTTATTGCTTGCTATCCCTGTCCCAGCTAAATGTGGCAGCATGAGAAAGACTAAATTTATCTCGTCTACTATTCAAATAACTAACTCTAACAACTGCCCCCAGGCAGTGTTACTTGTTTTGCTACACAACAGAATCATCATAAAACATATTACACACACAGTATCCACAAAAAACTGTTTTTAATTTACATGTTTTATATATTTCCATGGTGCTACTGTCTATTTACTTCTATTATCAACTCTGCCTTAATTTGTATATTTCCAACTTTATTTTTGACTTGCAACCACTTGCAAGTCTAGAATAGTTTCGCCCATTACCTAAATTTATCTTATCAACATTTTCAATTGTAGGATATAGTGTAGAACAGAGTCGGTTATCCTGGTATTGAGGATTGAAGCGATTTTTACAAACATGCGTTGAGTAATTTTACCATGAATACTTGTTTTCACTCCTACGACGATAAAAAAAAACAAAATATAATATTTAAAATATTTCCTGTAACCCGTATCCTCTACGCACACATTATTTGGAGTTCCAAAAATAATTTGGTGACAATAATCCTTAAATCAAACGAGTAAAAAGAGTTCACATTGCTTTCTATTTAATAAACTCCTCTAAACGGCCGCCATCTTGAATATTGAGTTCAGGGGGGTGAATGCCTCTCTTTAGGGCACTTGCTAAGAACATGGCCGCCAAAAAAAAGCGCCTTACGGTTTTGTAATGGAAGTTACACTTCTGTATGTCCTTATTCTGTGACCTAGATTACCTCCACTACTTAGATTACCTCCACTACCTAGATTACCTCCACTACCTTGACTACCTAGATTACCTCCACTACCTAGATTACCTCCACTACCTAGATTACCTCAACTACCTTGACTACCTAGATTACCTCCACTACCTAGATTACCTCCACTACCTAGATTACCTCCACTACCTTGACTACCTAGATTACCTCCACTACCTAGATTACCTCCAGTACCTTGACTACCTAGATTACCTCCACTACCTAGATTACCTCCACTACCTAGATTACCTCCACTACCTTGACTACCTAGATTACCTCCACTACCTAGATTACCTCCACTACCTAGATTACCTCCACTACCTTGACTACCTAGATTACCTCCACTACCTAGATTACCTCCACTACCTAGATTACCTAGATTACCTCCACTACCTAGATTACCTCCACTACCTAGATTACCTCCACTACCTAGATTACCTCCACTACCTAGATTACCTCCACTACCTAGATTACCTCCACCGCCTAGATTACCTTGACCACTTTGACTACCAGATTAATTACCTTGACTACCTAGGCTATATAACCTAATACTACGCATACATAGAGTGACTATGGTAATACGAATATATAATGCAAAGTTCTGCAACAAATCAATTTAATTAACTTAAACCACAACAGCCAATCACAAGCCTCAATCATATAGCTAGGTACTGACCCTAATATAGCCTATACTGTATACTAATTAGTCATTGCAAATCATTGCGTGATATCAATTACAAATCAAAGTCATTGATGTTTGATGATATTGAAAAACATTACCTACACTACCCGTCACTGCCACGTATTGAAGTTTGTTATAAATGCTGCATATAAAAATATGGTTCCTTCTCAGTGGTAATTGTAATAGACATGGATATAATTTAACACTATAATTATTATATACGCCACCATAATCAATGTAATTTACTTTTTGAAATTAAGAATCAAGAAAAAAATTGTCAACACATTCTACGCAAAATCTCTTACATAGATTATTATTAGTGACTATATGCATGGTGTTTTGTGTACTATACTATACTTTTTAGGCCTGGCAAACTGTACATTGCGTAGGCGCGTTTACACTATAAAGATCTTACGTAAGTCTTAGGTCAGTTGTGTTATGTAAAAACACCGCCGCCAATCTTGGGTAAATGAGTGACTGTCTACTTAATGGAGAACAGCTTGAATTTCTTTAGAGTGTTTGATTTTGTAATTTTTGTTAGCATGGAAATCGACAAAACTTGAAACGTTTTTAAACACGAAAGAGATCTTTCTTGTTTGCGCATATACCCGTGCACCTTGACAAATGCGTGCTTCTTAACAGTGGTTGTAAAGAACGTTTTGTTTGGAACGCGGTCCGAAATGCTTAGTGACCAATTAAGCCCTGATCAGCTTTCATAACAATGTAATTACAAGCTTATGCATGAAAATAGCCAGAGACGTACAATAGAAAATAGCGCAAATTGGAAAAAAAGAACATGAACTGCGAGCTGGTTACATAGTCGAGGTTTGGCAATCACAGTTTGAGCAACGCTATAACTAGCCTAGAACTAAAATGCATTAACTGTGTTGACGAAACCTTTGACAAGTGCTATTGTCTCAGTGAATCAATTATAGCCTATGGCTCAGTATGCCTTGTTTGATATTGTGAACACATTCATGTGCAAAACTGGGCGTCCATACGGATGCATAATATACGTATTGGTGATTTCCTCTATACTATCCTGTTAAGCACGGCTAATATTTTCTAATAATTCATAATTCATAATTCGCTCTAGCCTGTGTTCCAGTCCACTACACAACGGTGTAGTGGACTGGAACACATGCTAAATTCGCTCCTGAATATTAGGCAATGAAGAGGTTAAAATAGATTTATCAGCGATGTTAAAGTTAAACAGGTTGAACGGTAATAAACAGCACTCAGCAAGGTATATTGGTATTTTGTAATATTGCAGATCATAATAACGACGATATGGCACTGAAAATGTGAATGCACTCTTGAAAATGCACTCCTTAAATACTTTCCTTAAAATGCACAAAATTATGTGAATGCGAAACATGCACATATCATGTACCGGTCACTTGTCGTTCACGCTGTCGCTCATGTACATAATACATATTCGTCAACAAATAGACACACATATATTATGTCAATTAATGAAGGCTTCTATGTAGGAAGTACGGTTTCGTTTATATTTCCTATAAGTCGACTCGTGTTATTTAGCTTCGCGGTTGAGCTCAAATTTTTCAGATTAAAGTGCGAATTTTAGCAATGGGGGGTTGATTTTATCCGCTCACTCGTTTTACTCCTTAAAATGTGAGTCGACTCGTAGTAAGTCTAGGTGACTTCGTTTTAAGCACTCTAGACTCGACCAAAATGTTGGATAAGACCTACTCTCTTCTAAATAGCATGTGGTAGTTTGTGGTTTATTGCCCTCCATAGTTTTACAAGCTTAGAAGAAGACCAACTCCCCCTAAATTTTCGCGCAATCACAATATCGCTGTTTCAGTAAAATGTCTTCACTCTTTAGCTTACACAGCTATATACTATTTGTTCGTAGTTCATATACAACTCTGTATATGATATGGTACATGTTGCAAGCTTGGATATATGTGAAGTAAAGATCGTACTTCACATAGATCATGCTATATAATACAATATATGTGTACTATATCAACATTACAAAATATGTCGAGTCATAGCTTGGAACGCGTTAAAAAAAAAACAATACACCTAACCTCACGTGTATTCTGACTTGTGATGTCGTCCGATATCTTTTAAGAAACATAAATCCATTTAGTCCAAGAATATAATCCCAAATAAATAAGTCACATCCACGTCTTTCTTAACTTGAACATGCCTCACCGTCTTGTACCAGGCGCAAACTAGCCGCTAAAATAACAGTAGATCGATACATATTAAATTTCAAATTGCGGCTTATATAATTTGGCAATGTAAAGCTTTTTACCTTTGCAAAGCCGCTTTAGGATGGTTTACACAGGATCAAGTTTGTTTGATATAAGTACGTTCTATTTGAGTGAAAACCCTTTATAATCATTACCTATAAAACTAACTGGAATGAAATCCAAATGCTGTAAGGGTGTGACATGATACGGTCTTTATAGCGCTTTACCTGTTTCTGGTCTGCATATAGCTGCATATTATAGGCGTGATTTTAGGTATTTACAACATGAGCGGCCGTGTTGCATCGATTATAATGCAATTATACAAACTCGAGTTGAAGGCGAGAGTTTGTACTGTATATCCGACAAAATACGGACGCGAAGTAATTGGCGAAGTAATTTTAAAAATAAACGTTGTCTATATACGTATATAAGCTGAGAAAATCAGAGCTAATTTTTTTTTAAATCAACATGATTCTGTATCACAAACACAAATTCCTTCACGCAATGCATGCTTTCTTTTGTGTGTTTCTTCATGAATCACTCAGTTTTCTAATATAATTTATGGTTTCTTTCCCGCATCACAGAGTTACGTAAGATGGGGTTAGTTGATTGACAATGCAATTAGTATGAGTGTATATGTATGTAGCAAAATCAGAAAGATAAAGTGAGATATATATACGCATGATTAAAATCGCCTTGGCATCTAAGCGTGAATGTTAAATATAGAAAAAGTTAAACTTCCGGTTTACTAAGGTAAGGTTATATCCAACGGCTGTTTTGTATTCAGCCAACATAGAAATAAATTAAATTGATTTATGTTAAGTTGTCAATTGTATGGCCAGTAAGCTCATACAGGTGTATATTATCCTGGTGTCATTATTCCAAAACCTTACCTTGTATATAGGCAGTTTCGCTGTAACTCGCCAGCCTGGTCAACATTATTCTATTCATGCTTCGATTCAGCACATATTACCAACGAAAGCCAGGATGCCAAACACAGACTATACATGGCGTTCTCGTTCTTCCTTTTAACCAGTATTAGATATTTGACTATACGAAACCAGATTACCGCCGCTGCCCTCATCAATCTAATAGCTTGGTTAACTATTGTTATGCGTAATTGCGTTATGCTTTCGAGAGAGTTGAATTTCACACATCCGCATCAGTAACCGACACATAGAATCTTAATTCATTATTAACTGGTCATGAGTAAATTGATATTTGTCGCGCCTTGTCTCAACGGCGCACTAACAAATTTGGTAACGATTCGATCACAAATTCGTTTAACCCAAGGGCAAATCATTCACCTACTTTTGACATTTTCAATAAAAATATGCAGTGTTTGCCTCTGTTCAACCACAGGCGGCCCAATCTCGCAAGGGTCAGTATAGACTTATAGTATAAATGTATATTATATTAATGTATATTATAGTAAAAATATGTCTTAAAATATAAATTTTAAAATGAAATTGACTTGCCTATTTGATAGTGTGTGTTCTCCTTTTATTCCTCCTTTGTTGGACTAATATTTTCCGAGACTTTGCACTCGATGTTACTAGTATACATGAAACATGATAAAGGCTAACCATTCCCGATCGTCGATACGACGGCACGGCACTTCGAATCGAAAAATTTCACACTCAAATCGCTTTATTCTCCAAAAAAATTCGCCAGCATGTACAACAAATGCCGTTCTTCGAAAATACGGAGGTACTTCGGCGAGATGTACAAGTTTTGGGCCATATTTTAACAATGGAAATCAAAACCCATTTTATATTGAACTTGCCCAGGCCGAAAATTACTACGGCGAACGTCTGTGCAACCAGGCTTCCTTTACCGTTGGATTTACAGGGGGGAGGATGCCACTTATATATTCACGATAATATTTCGAATTAAAGTATCATATTCTACAATGCTTTCCAACAAAGAGCCGCTGTATATTACTTCTTCCTTAAATTTCTCCAATCTCCGTCGTTTAGTTTTCGTTTCTGCGACAACATCTCGAGTTTTATACAGTATCCGATCGAAGGAGTTTTTATTTTGAATATCAAATTTCAAATAATGTAAACAGTTGCTATCGCGGTCGCGATTGGCTGGCTGTTACCGGAAATATCTGCTTCCCCCCCTGTAAATCCAACGGTAAAGGAGGCCTGGTTGCGCAGACGTTCGCCGTAGTAATTTTCGGCCTGGGCAAGTTCAATATAAAATGGGTTTTGATTTCCATTGTTAAAATATGGTCCAAAACTTGTACATCTCGCCGAAGTACCTCCGTATTTTCGAAGAACGGCATTTGTTGTACATGCTGGCGAATTTTTTTGGAGAATAAAGCGATTTGAGTGTGAAAATTTTCGATTCGAAATGCCGTGCCGTCGTATCGACGATCGGGAATAGTTAGCCTTTATCATGTTTCATGTATACTAGTGACATCGAGTACAAAGTCTCGGAAAATATTAGTCCAACAAAGGAGGAATAAAAGGAGAACACACACTATCAAATAGGCAAGTAAATTTCATTTTAAAATTTATATTTTACGACATATTTTTACTATAATATACAATTAATATAATATAATATAATATAAATTTATACTGTATAAAGCTTCTATGGTATAAAATCTATAAAATCTATACTGACCCTTGCGAGATTGGGCCGCCTGTGCTTGAACCTGCGGCCTCAGAGGTGACAGGCAAGTGCGCTAACCACTTGGCCACCGAAGCCCCAATTAAAAAGCCCCAAGCTATTATACTAAACTCAACCAAGCATGAATATTAATATTCCCGCAGGTGAAAAGGTATTAAATTTCTCAGGAGATAAACATATCAACATTAATCAGTTTTGGAGGACATGTATTACATTCTTGGTTAAGTTTAACAGAATATTTTAATACAGGCTATAATTACCTTACAGCAATGTTTATTTCCCAAGCCAGTTTGGCATATTTTTACAAATGGGCAATCACATGCGAAATTCAAATGCTGAACCTAATCAAGTGTGGAAGTGGGATTCGCAATGAACAGTGACCCTGGGCTGTACACAGCACAGGGGAGGGGGCGGCAGGAGGGGGAAACTGCCCTCCTAAAGAAAACTATATTTACAATTTTTAGAATGTCATTATTAATTATTCTTTCGATATTTGGAACTTTTTTCAACATATAAGCCTTACTGCCCCCTGGTGATACGGCCCTGATGTGACCAGAGGCTCTCCGTTCTCGCATCTTGCTTTTTCGTCTCGCAACGAGCCTCTGGAACCAGAGTACACTTAAAGTAACACACACACACACACAGAGCAAATAATATAATGCTTTTAAGGCAGTGAATTGGTAGGGAAATCTTTCAATAATATCCTGTGATTATGGTAAACTATGCACCAATACCAGACAATATAAATCCCTGCCTGCTCAAATCCCGAAGTATGGGGCAAAGCAGGGTCACTGAGACAAAACCAGATATTTACACACAGATATTTACAGATAGTGACAGTGCTGAGAAGTAAAAACTGCCTACTTCTGGGTTGGGGGAGGTAGTAATTAATTACATTGACTAGTATTGTACACTAAATAGTTATGGGGTGCCATGGCTGCCAGTTCTGTTGTCTTTAAAAGAGTTAAAGGACTGCTAATTCTAAACTGCAGTGATTCAAAACATTCAAACATGTTCTAGAGATTATGAGTAATATTTTAACTTTGGTACACACTCATATTTTGGAACATTTTCCAAGGACGTACTTACTATAAATGTATCAAGATCTGTAAATATAAAATATAAATCTTCCTTTAAAATTTCCATCGATTTGCGATTTGCCTGCCTGCAAAAAGGTTAATCCACTTGGAACGTTTTCCGTGGTTGTGGACCTTCGCTCCACATCAAATGCATCCTGCCCAACATCAGCGATAGCCCAGTTTGTAAAGCAACGTTGAATTCAGCTCTTGGAAAGACAGCAAATACTAACGCTGTTTGCTCCGGCGACTTGCTTTGAAGAGGACGAAAGCGACCAAGAAGTGAGGCAGCCGATGACGATTGACGACGAACCAGAAGACGAACAGAACGAAACCCTCGTGAACAGTTTATTAGCAAAAATATTAAGCCCTTCGCGAAGGTCTGTCAGCTATTAACTGTGGTCAGACAATCGCCATTTCGCCAACCGGGTACTTTTAATGTAAAGTAATGAGTCATGCGATATTGTACCTGTCAGTCCTGGATCGTTGTGAGTCTTGTGACGCATTTCCGATGCGAAATGAGATCGATGAGATCAGATCGGTAATATTTAAAAACATGTCAGCTGTGGTGTGGGGAAAATAAGTTTAAACTGCCAAATCTACCAATTTTTTATGTGTGTGTAAAGATAGTGCAAGTAAGAGTCTGCTATTTTACGCGCGTCGAAACACTGTTATTCAAACATAAATATTTCGCGTTCTAGATCGAATTTTAAAAATCCCCCCGAGGAAATTAAAGAAAGCATGCTTTAGCAGAATTTGTCAGTTTTGTCGAAAAAAGTTTAATATTGAATGTCACCGAGGGCGTAGAACAAGGTGTTATTTTCTCACTCCTTTTGTTTACATGTTTCGAATTTCAGGCATTCTGATTGGTCAAGAACGCAAAATGTAAACAAACGCGCTGATTGGCTAACATTATTTGCCCTTGTTCACCTGCCCTATTGATCCGAAGCCTTCAAAATACAGTAGCGGCCGTGATGTATGCACCACGTATGAGTATCCACGTTCTGATGCTAAGATACGTATAAGTAAATACTTACTTAGAGTCACTGTCAGATGGTTGAGAGTTTTCATTGATTTCGTTACTGATATGGTCCGCCATTGCCTCTTGTATGGTACTTTTGCGTCTTGTTTTGGGAGTTGGCATACCAAGTACCTACATATTTTAGTTCATTTAATAACTGGACCCATTTATACAAGATACATCCACCCTAGGGATGTTCGGCATACCAATACACCAAAAATACCGGTATTGGATCCAATATCGGTACATGTTGGTATGACTTTTTCGGTAATACCGATATACCAAAATTTCTGGTATACCAAAATTTTTCGGTATACCAAAATTTACATGGCAAAATCATGCAAACCTTTTCCTCTTGTAGCATTCCAGGACATTCGATGGTCGGAACCCCCAATGAAATCACCAATACAATTTCATTCTCTTGAATAGATTTATCAAATGCTTGTAGAGTATTGTGCAATTCATTCTGAACGTCAGTGTCTTGTGTCGAGAACGACATTTTGGCGAGACTTGAAGTGACCAAGTGAGTTCCTTCAAGATTGTTGAGAAGTTTGTCCAAACTGCCGTGGTTGATGATTTGCTCCAATTTACGACGTTGGGGTTGACTTGAGACGTATTTAAGTTGGCAAAATAGATTCACCTGAAGAATTATGAATAGAAAAAATTCTGAAATCACTGACCAATTCTGAAATTACCGGGCTATCTAATGGCCCATTTATACAATATGACTACACACGTAAAAATCTCACATCTTGTAACAAGTCTGCCAACAAACCGTCAACAAGATATATTCGCACTGCTTGTCACAAGTTGTCAACAGGTTTGGAACAACTTGTAACAACCTTGTCGAACTTATCAGACTTGTTGCAAGGTTGTTCTGACAAGTCCGTTACATGCAACCTTGTGTTGACAACCTTGTAACATCCTTGTTATATCATGGCTGTAACAAACTTGTTAGCACAGTCTTGTAACAAGGCTGATAATGCCATCAAGCTTGTTACAAGTTGTTAACAGCT